CACAGTGACATGTCATGTGTGCCTCCTCCACACTTTGTCCAAGTACAGGGGACTGTGTACACACAGCAGTCTCTGCAACACAGGGTCATATTATTAAATATTGCCGTTCATGTTTTTCATTTAACATTAAAAACAAAAGTTAATCTTGAAGTGCCCAAAGAAATAGTTTTATGTGTGTCCTGTTGTTCACTGAGCCACAGCATCACTGTATGAATGAGAGTGAAGACCCAGCCCTCCATAGCAGCCTGTATTTATGTGATACTGGTTTAAATTCCTTGTTCCAGACTTGCTATTATGGATCCTCTGCAGGAAGCAAATGGCATCTTTGCCTTAAACCTTTTGAAAATACTGGGTGAAGACAGCTCAAGAAATGTCTTTCTCACCCATGAGCGTCTTCTCAGCCCTGGTGTGGTCCTCACAGTGGCAAAGGGAAACACTGCAAGCCAGATGATTCAGGTAACCAGCACCATTTCACAGCAGATAAATACCACGGACTGTCAGTTGAGTTGGTCCTCCACATTTCAGATCTCAAAGCAATTGCTCTTGATGAACAACTGCAGGTGACATAGGGGTGTGGGTGGGCATTAATGGAAAACATGTCTAACTCTGCTAGGACCCTGGCATGAGCACTTTGATCAATTGATGCTGATCTATGATGTTTAAAAGGAAGGCAAGAATACAAATAGCATGGCACCAAAGCCACCCAGGACCCCCACTATTTGCTCCCTAGCTCCTTGTGTTTCTCATCCTTCCTACAAGCAAAGTACAGTAGGTTTCTCCCCTCCCAAGACTCTGAAGTTTCTTTCCATGTGAGGTCAGACTTGGTCCCATGAAGCAGCAGCAGAAGCCACTGAGGCTCTTCATGGGTGTAGTGCTCTAGGTGCAGAGGTATATGTACTATAAAGACAGGCTGTCTTAGCATAAGACAGGAAGACTATGATGGATGCATGCAGTGCACACATCCTTCAGAAATGGAGATGAGGATATGTGTTAATCAGGGGTGTGTAACAGACAGAACTGATTGGATGATTTAATTAACACACAGTTCTTTCTTAGTTCTGGTGTCTAACATTTAAAATTGCTGTGAGCAGTAGAAATATGAAGTAGGAATTCAGCTGACACAGACAAGGTTAAAATCCTGGCACAAGGGCTCTGCCAGAGGGAAGCCAAAACTCAAAGAGTTTTGGTGATATTGGTTTTTGAATGTATTAGCTGTTTCCTGCAGTGAATTTCTTGTGTGCCTTCCCATTTGATTCTTTTCCCAAGAACTTCTAAAAGTGTGGTTGATCATTTATTGTGTACAACTTCCACTATATAGTTGGGGTATTTGGATAACATTCCCTAGCTGTGTTTGATAACAGTCACACAGTCAAGACCTTTTTCTCATAATTAGGCCTTTGTTCCTCTTACTCTAGCATAGACTTAGAACCTGCCTTCCTGTAATTATCTTTATTATCAGACATCTGGCCAGTGCCATCTCCAGACGAAAGTATTTCATCTGAGACACTTCTCAAACATCCAAGGACAGACTGCAGATAGATGAGCACCAGCATACCCTGAGCTCATCTTTCCTACAGATAAGAGAAGCTAACCTCACTAACCTTAAATCCTTAACTCCTTACCTTCACCCAGATTTAGTAGCACAAGACCCTAATTTAAGAGATTTACTGTTTGCAATTACCAGGATAGTGTTCAGTCATCTATAGTTACTGAGATAAGGTAAATATTCACACTGACCCAATGAGACAATGCCAGCCAGGCAGATGATAGGTAGGTGCCAAGCTTCGTTTCTTGTGCAAATTAAACTTAAACTCTCCTCTTTTTTCCATAGCCCAGGTGTTATCCTTAGTTCTAAAGATTCTCCCTTTAGCAATCAACTCAGAGTAAAAGTGCTTTTAGGAACCAAATGCTACATGTTGTGATGCAGGTTGCCTAGGAACTGAGAACACTTTCCTGCCCTGCCAGAAAATAGCACAGCTGAGAGCCAGAAGAGGCACTGAAGGAAAAATGGCAGTTTTATTTTACTTGTGACTTATATTGACTCCTAATCTTTCACCTAAATTCCTTTTTATATCCCCTAATTGATTTTAGCCCTTAGTTGACCCTACCTCCATAAGTCACTCCCCTTTTGGGTTGTAAATGAAAGCTGACAATTACTGCCCTTTGTGTGGATCTTATCACCTCTCTTCATGACCCTGAAAACTTCAAGCCTCACATTGTATTGCCAAAGAATTACTGCTTGTAAATACATATAAACTGGTACCCCCATGGCACTTGTAGAATTGACTTAGAAGAATAAAGTGAATGGACTGAAAGAGCTCAATGTGCATAGATTCTTTTGATATTCCTAAGATTAGATTCTCAACTGGTTGTTAGATTCTTCCACAGACCCTGGGAAAGGGCTATCTGGGTCTGGACCCCAATAGCTCTTGTTATAAAATCGAAGTATTGACAGTCTGATTTCCTTGGCTATAGATGGCAACTTTTCTCTGGGTCTTCAACTGTGTGTTCCTTGTGTGTCTGTGATCTGTTCTCCATTTTTTAATGTGGATACCAATGATCCTGCATTAGAGTTCTACCTGATAACTTTTTTTAAAACTTAATTTTGCCCTTAAAGTCTATCTAAAAGTTAGGCCATATTTGGAGGAACTGGGTGTTTGAATGTGAACATATGGATTTGGGGGAGACACATTGAGCCTATGGTGGAAGGTGAAGGAGGCACATAGCAGCCACTGAGCAGCAGCTATTCTGAATGCAGCCAAGTGCACACAGCCAGTTTCTACTGCCCTGAAAGTAGAGATGTCTTGCTTTACCTCTACATGTATATGCAGGGACTCTTCCTAATCTATCACATTAGTGGGCCGTGACTAAGAGTCTGGTTTTGTATATGACCACACCATTTCATTTTATGTGAAACTGCTATGTTTTTGTTCTCTGAGCCTACCTCCTGCCTGGAGAAAGACTTGTAGGCCCAGAGGCTTGCCCTCAATTTGAACCGTGTCTCCCTTCTAGTTACAAACTGTTACTATTCCTTTTAAACCTCTGTGGGATTTCTGTGCAACATTTTACAGTCCACTACACTGTAAATAGCCACCTGCATCTGCCTGTCTGTTGGGTTGGGTGTAGGGGCCTATGGGACACTATCCTTGAGATGCGTAGAAGACCTTTTTATCAAGGGAGCCATTAACCTTAAGGTCTTAGCATAGTAACCCTTGACCTTGCTCCTTAGACCAGGAACTTGGTCTTTATCTTGTGGCCATTTTTTTTACTTTTAAGATTATTTGCCAATTGGTGAGCCTAGGAATAGAAGCAGTTTCATTGTCTACCCAACAAGACCTGGTTTGGAAATAGTTTCTTTAACTTCTGCTTCAAATGGGAATACTTCATTTCTTCTTTTCTTCATTTTTGAGATATGTGGGAGCCCACAGAGGCTTCCTAGTGAGAACTTGCTCAGGTCAGAGAATCTGGGCTTGCTTTACCCAGCAGGGCTGTATAATGGGATGATTTGACCATGGGCATGGTTACCATGTGTTTGGAAGGGTCTGCACTTGGATGTACAGTGTGCATTGATCTTACAAGGAGGAGATCTTTTGCCTCTCCCCTTGGCATATTATAAAAAGCCCTTTTCAATAAAGGATGAGGCTGTTGGGTATTAACCCAGGTCCTCCCAAAGCTATCCTGTGTTTCTGTCTTTCTTCTGGTTGGCTAGGTCTCTCTTTCTATCTGATATTTTCTTACCCCTCTCTCTTCCTCCTAAGAGGTGGGAGCTGGGCCCCCACAGAGACAGCACCTCATGCAGCACAAACCAGCTTCAGGTTTTAGGAAATTGAGAATGACCTTGAGCTCCTGAGTCTCCTGCCTCCAACTTCTCAGTGATGACATTAACACATGCACCAGTACACTCAGCAACATTTCTTTTTTTGGTATATCTCTCTCTTTCCTTATTTCTGCCTTGGCAGAAGAAACTCTTCAGAGTTACCTTAGTCTAATACAGAAGACCACAGAAAAGTGTCCTATTGTTTTTATTCTGCAACATTTCATCTCTACACAATCATGATCTAACATGTCTAGTATTTTGTAGAATCTTTGATAGATTTTTTTTCAGAGAACTTTGCTTGATACAAGAAAAAACAAAAACTTAAGGTAGAAGACTTTCTATTTAGTATGTATGCATTTAAAAAATGTCAAAGCTATTACTCACATTGGTTTTATTGAATAAAGACATCTAGGTTTCTATAAAATTATACTGTATGTGAAACTCCACCTTGAAGAGCATGCCAGCTTGTGTGACTCAGCATCTTGTCAAGTTGGCATAAAAGGAGCCAGCACAATTTTCTAACAGTGAACATCATGCTTCCTTATCCACTGTAGGTGGCCCAGGATAGGCTGTATAGCATAGTAAGATATATATAACCCTAGCCCTTGGTGACCATGGGGTCTAGTTGGGGGATTATCCAAGAAGCAGAAAGTTAACAGATAAAATAACCACCATAAGTGGTCCAATTAAAGTTCAAAGTATACGCATGATTGGTGTGAAAAATAAATTTGTTTTGAAATGGTGTTTAAAAATTTCATAGAATTTAACTATTATAGTTAGTCATGGAAAACACAGTCATCTACAGAAACATAACTTCTGCAAGGAGAACATGTGATAGTCCAAACTAGCTGCCATGACAGCTAGATAAATTGAAAACAGATAATAGAGACCAGCTGTTAGAGGACCACACTGCCTGAACCTGTCCCCAAGCCTAACACAGTGATGGGCATATACCTGGTGAGTGGTGGACAGTAAAGCAAAATAAAGTTAAACTGGACATTAAGGACCAATCACTAGTAAACTGCAGTGGCTGTCATCATCCACAAAAGCATTTACTATGATGCAAACAGGTTAAGTCAAGTGATAGTGAGAGTTGAGCAACCAAGAAAAACAGTATATAGAGCTGGCATGGCTTGTCTGTGCAGTGAATGGGGCATTTATTTTGGGTCACCCTAGAAAACTTTGTAGGCTCTCTTGAGGGAATTGTTTGCCTCCTTTGTTGTTTACACAGCCAGAAACCCAACCACTCTGTGATCCTGTGACCTGGCAAAGGGCACTGATGAATATCAGGATAGGGAAGAGGAATGTGGGCATCCTAAGATCAGGCTGAAAGGAAGAAAGTGCCCTCATCTTGGAACGTGGGTTCAACCTATATGTCCATCCTCACAGGGTTGTAAGAGCTGTGAAGATGTTGAATAGAGAACTGTTTCCCACACAGTAAATGTGTCTTTATGGAGACGAGAACCTGCCACAGAACAGGAGGGTGTTGGTTTCATTGTGCCTGATGAAGAAAAGGAAAGGGGTGGTCAGCACAAAACCTTGGGTCACCACCAGATGAGAAACAGCATACATTTACCATGGTGGAGGCTGCAGCCTCTGTGCCTTCTTCATTCACCTCCACAACACTCTTGTGAACACACTCAGACACACACAGGTTTCTCTCCAGAGACATTCCTGATAAGTCAGCTTTGCCCCCTTGGAAGACATCCACCATTCCCAAGTGCTGAAACACAGACTTCATGTCATAATTCTCTTGCAGTTTAAATTTTGGAAGTAAAACCTCAGCTCTAGTGCTCCACATAAAGTCTGGTTTGGTCCAAGACATTAACTTCTCAAAAGTGAGATTGTTTTCCACCTGACAAAGAAGAATTAGAGACTTTCAGATTCACAGTTGAGGTCTTACCCAGAGGCACATAGACAGCTCACACTCACAGAACCCTCCATCATCCTGCAGGGGGCATGCCTATTCACAGGACCAGACAGTGTGAGGGTCCCGCTGTCCAGCTAACTTGAATCAGGCTTCCCTGATTGGCACAGAAGCCAAGCAGCCCAGGGTTGGGAAGACCTGGCTGTCCTCTCCTAAATAATTTCTGAGACATCTTTTATTCTGACATGTGAACATGTCCAGGTGCTTATGGTTTAGGTTGTGTTTGCTTTTGTTTTCTTGATCTAGACTTAGTTTTGAAGATAGTACATCATTGCAGTTGTTTTTAAAAAGTGGGGAAAAAAAAGGACTTTTGCTGTGAGCCACACCAGAATGAAGGTCTATCTAACATTGGAATCTATGCATTTTGTGGCCTACTGTGGCTTTTATGTGAAATTTCCCCCAAAGGCTCACATACTGAACCCTTATTCTGAAGCTGGCAGCAACATTTAGTGGGGCATCTATAATTTAGACATGAGGGGGTCTAGCAGAATGAGGAAGTAGTTACAGGAGGTGTACCTATGAAGGTCATCCTTGGTCCTTTGTCCCTTCTCCTTTCTCTGCTTCCTGTTTACTAAGAGGTCTGTAGTCTCTGTCATTATAGAAACCATTGATGGGGACAGGTATCTTGAAATGAACCCTCTGAATCTGTGATGCAACATAAATCCTTCCTATCCCGGGTAATTCATGGCAGGCATTTTGTCAGTGGCAAAACACTAACACCATAGATGCCACAGTGAGGGAGCTGGATAGGGAGAGCCAGAGGAGCTATTGTGCTTACAAAGATCCCTTAGGTCATGCACACTCCATGGCCCGCTGTTCAGAGGATGGCTAACACACTGTGGGGTACCCTGCTGCAAGGAAGACCAAGATGTGTCATAATGCTCTGCCTGACTCTGTCCTCCTCAGCTGCATCCCTCCTCTTCCTCTTGGTTTGGGTAAAGTGCAAACTGTCTATTTTATATTTTCAGATACTAAAAGAAAATACTAAGGAAGGTCATGATATGGGTTATCTTTATTTTGGGTGGCTATATACCAAGCCAATGTGTAGAGTTCATTGTCTGAGTTGTCTTCAGTTTATCCTATCAGGTAGCCATCTCCATTTAGTGATGAAGCTATGTTCTGTGTCAAGGTCACACAACCCACAATGGGAGTCTCAGACACAGCTTTGACCCAAAGCCCAGCACCTGCACTCAACTCTAAGCTGGGTACCATCTACTCAGATAGCAGTTGCAAATCTGCAAACACTGCTTTCTGTTCTAATGAGAATGGACACTGGGTTCTTCTCAGGGACATTGAGAGAGGTGCCTCACCTTGCTGAGGTCCACACCATCAACTGGGAGCAGGACCATCAAGCTCAGTTCCATGCCATCATAGGGCATCACCAGCATCGTTGCCTGAACTTCTTTCACGTAGGCAAGTTTAAATACACCTTTCTGATACATCATCTGCACTGGTCTTTTCTCCCTCTGAACAGAAGAATCCAGAACATAAAAGATATTACTGAGAGAGTTCAGAGGGTTTCCAAACGAGTGGAATTTAACAGCAGAAGTGTTTTTAGCACTCACAATGAAAACACTATTCATGGTACAGTGAACACTTAGTCAATATCTATCAGCCTCTTCCTACTTTCATAAAAATAATAGAGTGCAAGCAGATATGGACTGTTGTAGATAGGATTCTACAGTTGTGATGAAACACCATCACCAAAAATGACTTGGGAAGAAAAGGGTTTATTTCATCTTACAACTCTCAGATCACATTCCATCACTGAGGCAAGTCAGCAGGAACTCAGGTAAAAGCCATGAAGGAATGCTAGTTATTGACTTGTTCCCCATGGATTTCTCAATCTGTTTTCTTACATAGCTCAGGACCATCTGCCCAGGGTTGGCACTACCCACAATGTGCTGGGCCCACACCAATCAAGAATGAAGAAAATTCCCAACAGACTTGCCTCTAGGCCAGTCTTATAGAGGCAATTTCTCAGTGCAGAGTCCTTCTTTTCAAATGGCTCTAGCTTGTCTCAAGTTGACAAAACAACATGGACAGGGATTAACTCGGGAAAGATGATATGGCATCCGGCAACAAATATGACATTCAAATGTTAATATTTTAAAATCCTCCTTGGGTCTAAAATATTCCATAAAGACTCATGATCCAAGGCTTGCGTCCACAGGGTAGCACCATTGGAATGTGGACAAATCTTTAGGAGGTAGGGCCCAATTGGCACATGTAAAGTGTTAGGGGTGGGCCCTGAAGAAGATACTTGTCCTACAACCCCTTCCTGTTTCTCTTTTGCTTCCTGACTGCTGTGAGGAGAACAAGCCCCCACCATGCATTTCCACCATGCTGTAGTGCATCACCACAACCCAGAGTGATCGGACCAACTGACCAGACTGAAACTTCTGGAACCATGAGCCCAATTAAACATTTACCCCTTTTACAACCATCATATCAGAGGCAGGATTTTGATCATTTAAAATGGTCAACAATGATATTTAAGGAAACAGCATGTAGATAAAAAAATTTTCTTCAAATAGACTGGATTATTTTCGTAGTCATGTCAATGGGGTACAGACATATACATCTTCTCAGAAAATAGCCTGACAATAGTAGCACACATGCTCAGAGGTTCAGGATGAGTCACAACCTTATAGCCCACCACAGAGCAGAGAGCTCCAGAGCACAGACAATAACAGACTTAGGGCAGAACTCCATCCTGATAGCTCATTACAGAGAAGGGAAATCTTTGTGATGTATTACAGTCTGATGACCCATCATAGACAGACAGTTCTTGTTAACCTTTTAAGAGTTAGGGGCCATCTGGACAGAATCTAATGAATATTTCTATGATTAATCAGGTTGTTTCTGTTATGATAGTCCAGAGGTATTATTTAAACACAGATGTGGGCTGACCATCTGGGAAGATTTTAATTACAGTGGTACATTAAACATAAAAATTTGCTACAGACCACCCATAATGAAGATTAAATTACCCAATAAAAGGACTCATTCTTTTACAAAGTTTTTTTTAAAGCACCTGTAAAAAAAACATAGTAAGGAGTTTATCATTCATGACACTCCAAAGCATATCAAATTATATTTTATAGGAATTGGGTAAATAATTCTAAATTCTACTGTAATTCAAATTATACTCCAATTAAGACAGAGATCTTAATCGCTCAGTTTCAATATTAGAAAGTAATAAATACTGTTTAATAATGATAAATTACTAAATACTTATATTACTTTCTACTCTGCCTCATGTTCCATACATATATTATACTATGTTAGCAGCTTAGTTTTGCTATTCCAGAATGTAAGGAAAATTTAATTTCTAAAATGAAGTAGGAACTATAGTTTTATGAGAAATTATCAGAAGCAGTAAGAGTCACCATCAGGATGTAAAATAGCACAGGGAAAAAATACATTATATTCTTAGCATTTTCTACAGAGTTTAACCTTTTGTTCAGAAATATATGTTTGAAATGGTTTTCTGTGCTTTCTCATTTTCACTTTCTAGGCTGAGGATCAAACCCAGCACCCACACAGGACATGTGATCTCTACCTCTGAGCCCCAGAGCTACACATTTACAATTACATCCTTCCATGCAATCTCTCCACCACACTGACATGGACCTTTGGACACTGTTCCTTACCTGGTTTATTTTAAAGGGCATTTCCCTTGTGCGTTCTTTGTCAAACTCTTTTTGCCACTTTCCTTTGAAATATAAGGCATTGACAAGAACCAGCCTGGTCTTGGAATCAACTGAGTCACCTGACAGCAACTCTGGAATTTTCCCTTTTGAGGAAACAGAGACTTCATTCAGGCTCATGTTATACACATGTGAGAAATGAACTGATCTGGCATCTGAGCAGGTCCAAGCATCATGTTTTCAAATTTGTGGAATGTGGATAGACATATTAAAAAATCAAAACAACATACAAACACCCATTTTTGACTTGATGTCATGTACACTGGAAGAGCATGGCCAATTTATTGAAAAACTTCCAAGTCTCTCAAGGAAAGTAGGTTTGGGAAAAGCAGAAAAAGTGACTCCAGGATGAAAAACAAAGAAACAGGAAATGTGGAAAAGGTCACAGGGCACCAGACTTTCCACCTGGGTGCTAATGTTGGTTGCCATCTTGATTGGGTCTGGAATCAACCAAGAGACATGTCTCTGGGCAGGTCTGTGAGGACAATTCCCAGAAAGAGTAACTAATGGAGAGGACGCTCCCCCAAGGGAGCAACAACTTCCTGTGCTGCCCTGATATAAGGACTGAGAGGGAAGCAGCACTGCTTTGGTCTGCCTGCCTCAGTCCCTGATGGTGAGTGCATCAACACTGTTCACATCTCTGCAACTGCGATTTTCAGCTGACACTGGAACCCATGTGGACTAAGACTAGTGACTCTCCAGAAACGTCTAGGCTTTTCATTCCCACTGACTGGTAAGGTCTCCAGCCTCATAGACTGGGCAGCTACCAGATTCTCAGCCTCTCCATAAGCAGATGGTCAGTAGCTGATTACTCAGCCTGTATTATGTGTGCCATTCTATTAAATCCCCTTAGTAAAATTCTGTTCCTCTGAGCACTCTGACTAATACACTACTGTGAAATACAGCATCTCATCTAGTACTCTGTCATCATGCCCAGCTCTACATACCACAGTATGTCAGACACTCAAGTAGAGATACTAGTTTGGAGGATGTATTACTATTCTACACTTCAGAGTCCCATCCATCCCTAGAGGAAATAATGCAGGTTGAAAGACATATTCCCTTCTTCTCTATTAAGGAGTATCCTTTCAATGATCAAGACAATCGTTGCTAACGTATGACATCAAGAGTACACAAGAAGTAAGGACTTCAACAAGAAATTTACAAATAATTGCTGTGGTTTTAAGAAAATATTCTCATTCTATTAGGTCTGTCTGTCTGTCTGTTTCTTTTTCTCCCTCTTAGCAGAAATAGGAATGTACCTAGGGTTACAGAGGCTTCTGAATGGTTTAATTATCAAACAATGATCTCTAAGACCAATGCTGGAACATGTTATCTCTGAAATAAAAACAACTAAGTTTAACCCCCATTGGATCCATGTAACTAAGCAGCTCTGAAAGAGGAAATCAAGTCTAGTTTGATCAAATGTAAGTAAGGGATCTGAAGCAGGAAATATGGAAGCAGAAATAGGACTCCTCTTCAGAGGTAAAGGTGGTGGTGTCCGAGGCAACACAGATTGTAGGAAGATCCAGCCCAGTACAAGATTATGGGGAACATCTACCCATGCATCTCCATCTTAGAGATGGTGGAGTCACCTGTCCTGCCATTACTGCAGACCATCCCTGTCTTCTAATGTAAACTGTTAGACTGGAAATCAGGACATTTGTATCAGCCCTCTCTCCCAGAGAAATACATGAACAACTCTGTTTTTAAAGTCTGAGTGTCTGAGTAAAATCTCCATGAATTTACTGAGGTCTAAATTATATCATTTGTCCTAGCTAGTCTGCATCCCTTTGATATCTCTGAAATAACAGTGAGATTAGTCAGTGGGGGGGAGGGGAGAAGGGAAAGTTAAGAGAAAGAAGAGGGAGGGTAGAGGAGGGAGAGATGGATGGAAAGGACAAGAATGTGGGGTGTGAAATAACTTGAAATCCTGACCTTCAGTCTGTTCAGAGACCCATGTGTTTATGTGTTTCCGGGACTCCTCTGCTGCTTTGGCAAAGGACAGCTGCTCCAGCTCCGAGTGATAGAAATGAAGACAGGACTCCTTAAATGTCTGGAGAGGAAAATGTTCAGTGAGGTAACATTGCAAAATATAGTGTCAGCAAGCTTCCCAAACTTCTGAATAATATGGCATTAAAAAATAAAATATAACCAAAATTAAAATGAGTGTAAATATCACTTTAAAGAACAAACATCTTTTTGTACTAGGCCTTTATAAATGGGAATAACCAGATATGAATAAATTTAAAATTACATGAATAAATAAAAATAAAAATATTTCTGATTTGAAATATTTCAAGGTATCATTATAGAATTGTGGTATTTGGGCAAGGTTCAGGAGTTGAGTCTCACTATGTAGCCTAGGCTGGCCTAGAACTCATGATCTCCTTTCTCAGTAGTCTAAAAGCAAATATTATAGATGTGGACAATCACACTGACTAGAACTTGATCCTTAAGTTTCTCAAATTCTCTAGGGTCCTTTGCTGTGGATATCGCTCTTTATTCTGTGAATGGGTTGCTCTGATGGTTAATAAATAAAATGCTGATTGGCCGATAGCCAGGCAAGAAGTATAGTATAGTCAGGATAAGCAGAGAGGAGACTTCTGCGAACAGGAAGGATGAGTCAGGAGTCGCCAGCCAGACACAGAGGAAGCAAGATGTGAAGGTAGAACTGAGAAAAGGTACCAAGCCACGTGGCTAAACATAAATAAGTATTACGGGTTAATTCAAGTGTGAGACTAGTCAATAGTTAGCCTGAGCTAATGGCTGAGCAGTTTTAATTAATAAAGCCTCTGTGTGTTTACTTGGGTCCAAGCGGCTGCAGGACTGGTGGGGAAGAGATTTGTCCTGACCATGGGCCAGGTGGGACACAGGAAAACTTCAGCTACAGTCCTTCAATAGGGATCTATAGCAACAAGTATTTGAAAATAATTGACATCATTCTATTGATACAACTTACAGGGAGGAATTCACAAGAGCTCTCTGCAAAGAGCCTGTTGGCCGTTCTAAGCAAGTATTTTCTGTTGGGCTTGTTCAAGTTACTGAGCAGCCTTTGGAAGCCTTGATGAATGTCTTTGTCTGTGTTTAAGCCAAGTGCCTGTGAAGGAAAAGAATACAATATTATAAGCTCAGTGATGAGATGTTGTGGTTGTAAATATAATTTTCAAGCTGAAGAGTTACTCAGGTAGTGAGGTAAGAAAGGCTCTGATGTGAAGCAGGTTGGTATTAAAACAATTAAAAGCAGGAATTAGCCTTAATTGCTAAGGAATAATTACAAAGTCTATTACTCTAAAAATAATATAGGTCTTAGCAACCCATTTTTCAAATAATTTCAACAACTTTTTTTTCCATTGCAGAATTTGGGACTGACCCTAGCTCTAAACAAATGCTAAGCAAGAGTTTACCAGCTCTACCACTGAGTTATACTAACAATGCCTTCCCTCCACCTTTGAAAAACACTTTACATTTGAAACTAAGTTGCCTTGGCTAGCCTTGGACTTGGGATCCTCCTTCCTCACTCACCTTAGTAGCTGGATTTAAAGCCCTGTGCCACATGGCTAGCATGAATCTATTTGTGCACCATTTTCTAGGTAAGTCTGGTCAAAATTTTGAGAGTTCTTCCAAGGTATTAGTCTGGAAAGCTCATTGCCCTGAAAGAAGTCTTAATTGGGGGATCAGAGTAGAGAGATGGCTCAGCAGTTAAAAGCACTGGCTGCAATTCCAGAGGACCTGGCTTCAATTCCCTGCCCATAGGGCAGCTCTAATCTGCTATACCTCCTGTTCCAGAGGCATTCACATCCTGTAGAGACATATATGTGTGCAAAACACCAGTGTACATAAATTAAAAAATTATTTTTTTAAAAAGTAGATCTTACTGGAGTAGACTGGCTTCTTTTCTCTTTATCCCATGACCATTGAAACAGTATGAGCCCACTCCTACCCTCCCTTCTCAGCAACTCTTAGGAAAGTGAAGCAGGTGTGGGGTGACAGCTTACCTGAGACATCTGGACTGCAGTGTCTCCCTTTGCCCCCAAGAGGACCATAGCTAGAGCAGAGGAGATGCTCACAGGAGAATAACAAACATTTTTCGAAGGGTTGCTTTCACAGAGCATCTTTAAAAGGTGGATGGCAAAGTTGCCATTTGCTTCAGACAGAGTATTCATGATGCAGAATCTGGAGGCAAAAGATAAATGGTTCTCAACACAATATTGAAGGCTCATTGATCTGACTCAGGGGAATCTGGAACTCTACACTTGATTCTCATTTCCAAGCTCATAAGTACTTAACATTTTATTTTAAAAATTAATTCTCAGTCATAGTTCTTCCAATTTTAAGGTTATGATCTACGTGTGGTCATGACAGCAGACCAAACTAGCGTCTGTGTCATCTGCATAGGTAGAGGTCAGATCATCAGGACTGTACACACAGGACACAGCTGAGAGAGGGGGCCTCTAGTCTCCTTCCATACACACCACCTCCTCTCTCTGAAGATGGTGGAGTGGAGGATAAATAGGAGGAGGAGGAAATGAGGAAGGGAAGAAGAAAACAGACATGAGCATCCAGGTCCTCTAGCCTGGCTTCAGCAAAGCTGCATTCTGGGTCTTCCTGTGAAGACTCCTCTGAGATGTCCAGGTGTGCATTAGACAGAGTCCCTGCATTTGCAGCTGCTACAGGACAGACATGGAGATGCTGAATGAGACCCAAAGACAGGCTGGTGTCACCAGCTCTGCTGTGGAGCAGGGAGCATCCACCTGCAGTGGCTGCTCAGGAGGCCTTGATCAGGCAATGGCACTAGGCTGTTTCTCTGTGGAGCATACCTCACTCCCAGATGAATGGACAGAGTGGCCTGTACTAAGTGACTGTTCCTAACAACTTACCTCAAATCTGAGTCCCTGCACATCTAATGGCTGTGCTCTGACTGTCATATGACCTTTAAACATTGGAAGTGTGTTCCCGAGTGCTTTCTACAGTGCTTAAATGCAGATCAAATAGCCTAGGGAGTCTCAGAACATCACAATCCATACTTCTTCCCTCTCCCCTGACAGAAGGACACATCATCCTGAGAGTGTGCCCAGATCCTGTGACTCTTCCCCATAATTCCCCTAAGGCTCTTTAGGAAAGTTGGGGCAGCTTTATTTAAATGACTGGTCTTCTGGTTGGTCTTCTCATCTGACCCACCGTGTGACCCCTACACTCCTGCCCATCCTGATGTCCCTTTAAAGTTGCTTCTGAATCCTTGAAGTACTGTTTATTCCACTCAGAAGGTCATCTACCCCCTCTCCGTCACTGAGTTCAAACTACTCACCCTTCCCTCCTTCACTGGAGCAGGGCAACCTCAGGGCCTCTGCTCTGCCACCCTAGTGACGCTGCCCCAGCCAGTTCTGTCATCACTCCTAAGTGCAGTCCTTTCTCTTGCTGACTGTGTCTCCACCACAGCTGGAGCTCTCTGAAGACACAGTGTAGTGACATGGTACAAGGGGGCCTTGATGGGTTGGTGCCTCAGCAGGTGCTGAAGATTGATGCTGTTCTGATACTTCTGCCTCCAACCATGTGGAGACCTGAGCATAGACTGGTCCCTGTCATTTTTAATAGATTCAAAAGCTGCTTGGTGCACTCAGATATGATTTATCCTTGTCAGATCTCTGATTCCATCTGATGACCAGGCTTTGCTTCAGCTTCCTTCTCAGTTCTATATATAAAATTCACAGGTCTCACTCTCCTAGGGCTACTACTAGGTCTAGACAGAATTTACCTTGTTACCAGACCAAAAAACTCAAGAGAACAGATGTCAGTGTAACTTTTTACTATTGACTGCTCTCAGTATCTCCTGGAGAAGAGGACAAAAGAAACAGCTTCAAGGTTTGTCTATATGAAGATAGGAAAGCTGTCTCACTTCTGTTCACTCTGATGATGGTTAGGGAAGCCTCCCTCCTTCTCCGCTCAGTCAACCTCTTCCATTCAGTCAATTTCTTCTCGTTATAGATTTACAGATATTTCATTGGGCTGAAGCCAGGAAATGTTCATACTTTTTAATCCAAAGTCATAGCCTTTTGCTATGACACCAGGATGTAAATCTCCTCCAGCTGTCTGACAGATACCTGCAGGCTCCTGGAAAAGATGCTGCTACTGTGTCAAGATATCTGGTCTGATGAAAATTAACAGTCTCCAGAGCCCATTTTGACCCCACCCATTTTCAAGCTTATGTTACAATTTCACTTCCGCCTGGGACAAGGCCAACATGCAGATGGTCCTCCAGATACACCAGCCCCTGCACCAGCTCTGAGGATGCCAACCGCCAACAGAGGATGCCCCCTGTATGGATGCACCCCCCACGTCCAGAGAAACAAGAGATGTCATGGCTCATGTACTCCTAAAGAATACATCATCCTTCAATTCACTGCTAGTACCAGCTCTCCAGACTCAAGCAGGCACCTACCCAGCAACCAGAACCTGGTTTTGCAAGATGTCCCATAAAGGGCATATCTGCTTTCTTGTCTCACTCATTCACCTTTGCCTCTTCAGTAGAACCAGGACACTTCTCTGTTCCATTCTTTCTGACAATTATCTCTCTTCCTGTGGCTAGCCCTGCTCATGAGGCCAATGGTAACAATCTATTTTTTTCTCCTAGCAACCTGTCGTTGATATATTATGCACCCCAATAAACTTATCTGGGGGTCAGAGAACAGAACAGCCAAATATTAAAAATAGAGGTTAGGCTGCTGTAGCACATGTCTTTAATCCTATCGTTCTAGAGGCAGAGATCGGTCTGGATTTCTGCAAGTTCAAAGCCACACTGGAAACAGCCAGGCATGGTGACACACACCTTTAATCCCAGGAAGTGATGGCAGGAAGCAGAAAGATATATAAGGTGTCAGGACCAGGAATTAGGGCCTTTTAAAGCTTTTAGCTTGTAGCATTAGTTTAGTTGAAATCATTTCAGATGAGAACTCAGAGGCTTTCAGTGTGAGGAAACAAGATATGCTGAGGAATTGGCAAGTTGAGGTTAGCTGTGGCTTGTGTTCTGTCTCTCAGATCTTCCAGCATTCACCCAATACCTGGCCCCAGGTTTGTTTTTATTAATAAGACCTTTTAAGTTTCATGATACAGCAACCTGCTTTCTCAACTCCCTCAAGGAACAGGCCTGAGATCTCCACATCTGAGGTGGCCACAATGACAGCCAACCGAATCCTCCTTCACTCACACATCCCTCTGTACATGACCCCAACTCCCAACTTCCTCCTCCCACTTTGTCCCACAATCAGCAGGAAGCAGTCTTGGAATTCAGTGTCCTTATACCCTCACTTGCTATCCATCACTCAACTTTCTATAATAATCAACATGGAGGAATGTTGGCATTCTGGCCCGCCCCTTGGAGACCTGCCCTGTGTCCTGAAATAAATCTTCTTTTAAGGAAACCCCTCCCTTGTTCTTCCTCTTCCTCCCTCCTCCCTTTCTCACCATGAGGTGTGCACACCTCCACTTTCCCTCTTTCTCTCTGTCTCGTTCTTCCTCTCCCCCTGTCCCTCTCTTTCTCTATCTTTCTACTATGATAAACTCTCTCCAAGTGAATGCCATGCCTGGGATGTGAGTGACTTTCCAACCTGTGATACCACCCACCTTGCGTCTGTATGGCGTGTCCTCCTCACCCACTGGGACACTAATGCACCAAGGCTCCTGCTTGCCGTATCATTACACAAGAGAGATGTCTGGCCCTACAATTCTGAGCACCTGGCTAAAGGTGGCATTTGAGGATGTCCAGTCACCATGGGATCACTGATTTTATAATTGGAATGAAGAGAGCTAGGACTGGTGGAGAGCCTGCTGATCTAAAAGGCCCAGAAGTCAGAGACATTATTTTGCAGACCCGTGAGAATATGGCAGAGATAATCAAATGGGCTATGTTGTAGGATATGAGCGGAAGCAGGACAGAGGACAGTGGAGAAGGCCCCTGAGACCCTGCAGCACCTATGCCTGACTGAGATGGGTCAATAAAGCTTCAGGACTCCAGCCCTAAGGCCAGCCTCACTACCACTGGCCACTGGGGTTTCTAGAGAATCAACTCTGTGAACGCCCACCAGAAACCACTTGCCCTCTGTCACTTTTGCTAACCCTCAGCTTCTGGACATTCCCCTGGACTCAGGCTGGACCTTCTAAAGCTTGCCTCTGCCACTCCCACAGCCTTGGACTGAGCCAGTAGCCCTTACCTACCAACTTCACAACCTCCCGAAGCAGTGTTCAAGGCTAGATGCTCCTGGAGTGCAGCTTAGCAGCCTGTCCCGTTCAGGAAGGCCCTTTATTCACTGCAGGGTGCTGACATCATGCTCAGAGCCCCAGGCCAGAGGAAGAGGGACTGGCCTGACCTCATCCAGCTCTGTCCTCCGCAGGGTGGGGATAGGTGAGAGTCAGTGAACACCTGGTCCCTTGAGAAAGAAAAATCTAGTAGGAGCCTGGGTCTCTGGGTGACAGGTCACCAAGAGAGAAGTTCACACATGTACTTCTCCCCAAGATCAAGGTTCCAATTGGCTGAGCCTGAGAGCTCACTCAATTTCACACTACCTGTGACACACTCTGTCTAGAAATCTCTCCTCTCCATGTGCTCTCCTTCCTGGCTTGTGGACGGCAGCTTTTCACCAATCTCTTCCTCCCAGAAGCTTCCTGGTGCCAATGGCTTCCCCAGGGTGCTCACTTTCTGTTGCTTGGCTCCATGTTTCCACAGAGGCCGCTCATACCCCTTGTCTTCTGACCCCTGACCCAGCAGGGAGTGACAGCTGCTGAAGGGACAGAGGCTTCTGACCCTCTTTCTCATCTTGCTTGAGGGAAGGTTGGCTTGCTTACGTGCAGAATCTGCGTCCTCAGTCACCCTGTGTTCTCCACCCCGGAGGGGATTTCAACCGTCCTTTCCTTTAGCTTCTCTAGCTCCTCTGCTTTGACAACAACTTCTGACCATCTCCCGCCTTAACTTGTGTTCTTGGGGACACTTTTCACTTTGGTTCCACATCACCAACGCAGCTGGCCCATAGTTATTGTCCCTCCTTCAACGTGAGTCCTCTGACACAGTTTCTCCTTCCTGTTCTGCTTCTCCTTCTTCCTCACCCCTGCTCTCTCCAGACTCCTCCCTGCAATTGTCCTATTCCTCCTCCTCCTTCTATTTAAAGGCCACAGTAATTTTTGTCTGGAATGCTCTGACTTTTTTCTACTTGTTTGTCTTTTATTTCCTATCTGTAGTCTGTTGGAACATGGGCCTTCCCTTCAGGGCAGAGGTCACTATTAATAGTCCAGATCTCACATAATTCTTTTCAGCATCTACTGCGTCTGCCTTAAGTTAGTCATTGGTGTCATCCTCACTGTACTTCCCGCTTGATGGCATGTGGATGACTGACAGACCATGGTATTTATCTGCTGTGAAATGGTGCTGGTTACCTGAATCATCTGGCTTGCAGTGTTTCCCTTTGCCCCTATGCAGTCCATGGCCAGGGCCAAGGAGATGCTCATGGGTGAGAAAAATACATTTTCTGAGCCGTCTTCACCCAGTAATTTCACAAGGTTTAAGGCAAAGGTGCCATTTGCTTCCTGCAGAGGATCCATGATTGCAAGCCTGGAACGAGGGATTGAATCAGTATCACATGAATACAGCTGATGTGTAGGCCGGGTCTTCACTCTCACTCACACAGTGATGCTGTGCCTCAGTGACCAAAGGGAAAACACAGCCTGGAAAGTAAAGGTCACATGCAGAAAGTAATACAGCCCTGCTGGGGTAACTCAGGCCAGCGCCTTGTCTTCCTCATGTGCAGAAATCAGTACACGGGGAATCAGAAGGAAATGGCTCAGAGGACAAGAGGCAGGTAGCAGTGCAGGCTGGAAGCAGGCAACTGCAGAAGCAGGGCCTGTCAGCTCTGACATTACCCCCATGCAGCTGTCAAATTCCCTTCCCCAGTTAGACAGTACAACAGTTCTAAGATTTCCCATCAGCCCCCCTGAGCAGTGGCTGAGAACTCACAGAGCATGGGAAGGGGATGCAAGAGGCCACAGGGAAGAGAAGTGTGCCCAGATGTAGTGATCTGAACAGAATACATGGCACAGCTTTACACTACTGCTGTGGACAACTAGACTGGACTGTGAGATTCTTTGGGCCCTGAGATGGTGGCACACTCCTTTAATCCCAGCACGCAGGAGTCAGCTCTCTGAACTCGAGCCCAGGCTGGCCTCAAACTATCATCCCTCTGTCTCAGCCTCCTGAGTACTGGGATTACAAGTGTACAGCACCACACTTGGCTTCATTCCCTGTTTTTTCTATTTGCTATTGATTTCTGTCTGCTGATTCTACATGTGCAATCCATGAAAACAGAGACGCAGATAGAGGTGCCAGGTGAACTTGGTTTTTGGAGCTAAGTGCGAACCACATGTTCCCTCTCTGTGTGATGACACAAGTCACAGGTGCAGTTACTGAGGGTAGTCCTGAAACACAGAACACTCCCAATATGAAATGATAACATCAGCCATCCCTGTAACCTGGGCTCCCAGCACTAAAATCCCTGATCACATGACCTTAACCCAAAGATTACTCAGTACATCAAATATCACAGCATAGTCCTAAACCACACCAGAAATGTACAAACATCCTTAGGAATAGTCCTATCACAAAGTAACTGCCCCCCCAGAACCCCCCACAACACACACACACACACACACACACACACACACACACACACACACACACACACGTAACCTGAATTAACTTCATCTAGCATTTCTTCACAGTCCAGTGTTCCCAATGACAAGAAAAGGACATAGAAATTGGCTAGGCACTTGAGGGTCAGGGCCACCAAAAGAGTCAGTTTCAGTAATGTTCATGGTTCACTGGCCAGGAATGCTAGAAGGGAGCTCTGTAAAACTGGATCTCTAGATTATCATGGTAAAAAATGAGTTACATTTATTTCCAACTTTAGCCCATCTCCCAAATGATTGAATGGTACCTGCTCGCAGGGAGAAATGTTGCAGGAGCTGTGCTCAGGGCTCTCTATTAAGACCCATGAAGGAAAAGCTATTTCCTTCTGACCAAGAGATTGAACTCTACCTCAGGCAGGGTGCATCTAACATTCCAAGCTACTCTCAAACAAAAGAGTTCATCACCTGGCTAACAAAACAAGGAGAAAGGGAGGGGAAAAGTAACTCACAGGACAGCATGTGGGCTTGACCTTCAGCATGGTGGATTCATGCTGCAGTCCACAGAGGTGTCTCCAAGCTGTGCAGAGCACTCACTGCATGGTGGATTTAGCTTTTGCTAGTATAGACAAAAAAAGAGTTTTTGGGCTAAATGCTGTTTGATGGAGGTATAGACCCACTGCTTCCCAGACTTGGTGGTGAACATAGATTCCAGATCTGACAGTAAAAGTATCTCTGCCATGTTGAGAAGCTGTGGGGGTGGGCTCAACAGCCAAAGTCACCAGGCAGCTTAACAGTTTAAAATCTCTCCTGGTCAGAGAAGGACTATAGATTCATAATAAGACAGATTCAGATGAAATAAAACTCTAAATGTTTTACAATATGTGTACAAATGTATGTAGGCTTGGAAGAGAGAGGAAAAGGAGTATATGCAGTTGTATAAAGAAATAGATGTTTAAAAAATAAAGTCTTTAAAGAGACAATAAAAATAATATAAAAGTTAAGCCACATAAAGATGAAAATAACAGAGTCTGGATTCTGTTGTCTTTAGGATTTTTAACTAGAGAGAGACATTTGATTGCAAAGGCTGCTGTGTTAAATATGTATTTTTTATAGTATCTTGACTTCAAAATTTGTTCTAAGGATATGTTGCTTTGGCAAGGAGGCTCTGCTTCTGTTTTCACAGGAAGCAAGGGGCTGTGGATTTGTTCCAGCTTAGGATTGATAAAATATGATCAAGCGAGATCTCCTGATCCTTGACAGATGGTATCTATCAACAAAGATTTTATAGATGTGTTGTGCCCAAATTGCAACCCCAAGAGAGAACAACAAGGATGAGTGTACCAGAATGCAAAAGCAAGGTTTAATTTGGGATATCCAAAAGCAATACAAGCCTAGGCAGGGACATCGTCTAACAGATCCAACACAGTGGAGACTGGAGGAAGTGCCCACCTCTCCTCAAGCTCAGTTTTTAAAGGCAAAAAATCACAAGGTTACATCATTTAGGGGTGCTTGTACGAGTACAATTCTGATTGGTTTGTGACTAGGAATTCCAGAAATTACGATTCAATTTTCATTCTAGGGAGGTGGTTGCCTGTCACCATTTCTCATTGGCTGCCCCCAGATGGGGGCATCTGGTGATTACACAGTCACTATGGGAATGAGGGTTGGGACATTCTATGGTCAAACAGTTACCTAGGGAACCAGGGAGAGGACATTCCATAGTCCGGCAGTCATTACCTCCTGACTAACTTTTGACTCTTTACTTTTACACTTCCTGGTTTCTGGAATCTGGACTGACTAGTTTCAGTAACTCCTGGCCTGTTCCAGCAATTTATGGCCTGTAGCTAAAAGGAGAAGTCTTAGGCTTTAGTTTTAGGGTGAAAGCATTTTGGTCTTATTTTGGTTCCACAGATGGTCTTCCCAGGAATTGACCATTATCTTGAATTTGTTGATGTCCAGTGGCCACCACTGGAGCCACACAAATATGAGTGTCCTGCACTGCCACTGGAGCCATGGTGATGTCCAGCCAGAGATTCTGCCAACCTGGCCCTTGGTGACCATAGGGTTTAGTTGGGGAGGATATCTAAGATTTTATTGACAGGTAAAGCTACCACTTTAAGTGGTGCAATTATAATTCCAAATGCACATCTGAGTTGTTTTATCCCAAGCACAGCAGCTGCACTTGAATATACTGCTCTTTCAGCCAATAATTGTAGCTCCACAGTTACTGGCCCACTTCTTTAATAGCAGCCCAGTTGGACTTTAACATCTCACCAGATCCTTCTCCTACCCCTGCCAATAAATGTAGATTTAAACAAATCTCTATAGTTCTTTTTATCAGTAAGACTCGGGAGTCAGCAGGGAGGTTGAAAAGCAACTAGATGACCTTCCCTCTTCACCAGTGTCTCCAAAAAGAGTGCTTCCTTCTGCTCCACCAGACCAAAAAAGACTGCCACACTTGAAGTCCTTCCCTATCAGTGGCCTTGGAGTCCAGCTTGCAAGGTCACCTCCAGGATTCAGGATAGATGCTACAGCAAAGTGAAGGGAACTTAGGATATCTCTAATGTCAGGGTTGAGGAAAAACTCACATGGCTGCTGATCCAGTCCTGTCTCTTTATTGTTCTACCCTAGTTCTAAATCTTCTCAGCTCTAATCCTCAGCTCTCATTCTTCTCAGCTTTTCCCTCTATCCATCCTACATATATTTACAACAAACTTTTTGTACTAAAAAATTTACAAAGGCCAATATCTGAGGGAGTCAAGTAACCGTGACAATGCCCATTTTCAAGGTTCCTGGTGTAAGACTGAGACCTGAAGTCAGGGGCACAGTGCATGGAGAGACAAGCTGCAGAGGTCTGCAGAGGGTCAGGTCTTATCAAATAGACTACCAAGAGAAGAATTGGCATCATAGTTTAGGTAGCTTTGTGTTAATAACCTTGGTTAGAATTAGCATAGTATTTAGGCTGCTTTGTGTTAATAACCTTGGTTAGACATCTGCAACTCTAACCTTGTGCATCTCTGTAAAGTTTTTAACTTATGATCCATTTACAGAAACATTCAGTCTAGTTTGAAACTGCTCTGAGGTTTTAAGTCAGCAAAATGTATGTAGCTTTTCTTAGATTGGAGAGAAATTGTTATTTTCTTATGTTAGTCTGAGTTGAAGGAACAAGGCACACCTTTAAGTTCTACAGTCCTCCAGGGACAATAGATCTAATTGTGAAGAATATCCTAGTATATTTTTTATAGATCAAAATTATACATACTAGTGAGAAGTCATCTTCCTGACCATCCATGGATATATGTGCCCAACAGATGGAATACATACATGAGATAATGCAGTGGGAAAACACCCATAGCTGTTCTTAGGAATGAAATGAAATGGCACATGAGAGAAATTACAGACAGGAGCAACTGATCATTTACAGTCAGTAACTCCATGTCCTTGGCAGGTGGGGCTCCCCATCAGAGAACATTGTGGGTCTACCTGCTGAACATTAGTTGTCACTTGCTGTATACTCCCATGGCCTCTTGCTACCAGCAGCTCTCAGCACCTCCCTACTACTACCTGTGCATCTCTCTATCTGTATTTTAGATTCCATCTGACTATCTATGATTACTATCTGTCAACTAGTTGCTGGCCCTGCCTCCTGACCCAAGGTTGATATGTTTAATCAACTGTGGTGGTATTGTGTTCCCCAAAATATTGTACACACTAATAAATTTATCTGGGGTCAGAGAAGAGAACAGCCACAATATTAAACATAGAGGACAGGCTGTAGTAGCATACGCCTTTAATCCTAGCATTCCAGAGGCAGAAATCCCTCTGGATCTCTGTGAGTTCAAGGCCACATTGGAAACAGACAGGCATGGTGACTCACACCTTTAATCCCAGAAAGTGAGCCTTTAATCCCAGGGAGTGATGGCAGAAAGCAGAAAGATATATAAGGCATGAGGACTAGAAACTAGAAGCATTTGGCTGGTTAAGCTTTTAGGCTTTGAGCAGGACAGTTCAGCTGAGATTCCTTCTGGATGAGGACTGAGAAGCTTCCAGTCTGAGGAAACAGGATCATCTGAGGAACTGGCGAGGTGAGGTAGCTGTGGCTTGTTCTGCTTCTCTGATCTTCCAGCCTTCACCCCAATAACTGGCCTCAGGTTTGATTTAATTAATAAGACCTTTTAAGATTCCTGCTACAATCAACTCCAACACAAACTCGGGGTTCAGAGTGTTATATATCCCACAACACATATGATTGGTGAGAAAACAAAATTTATTTTGAAATGGCTCTTAAGGACTCACAAAATTTAGCTATTACAGTTGGTTGTGGAGAAATACAATACTCTACAAAAGCATAATTTCTGCAAAGAGAACATGTGGTAATCCAAGGTAGTTCTCATGAGAGATAAGTTGAGAGAAAGTGGTAAAGGTCAGCAGTTAGAAGACCACACAGTCTGCACCTGTCCCCAATCCTAACACAGTGATGGGCATATACCTGGTGAGTGGTGGACAGTAAAGCAAAATAAAGTTAAAATGTGCATTAAGGACCAATCACTAGTAAACTGAAGTAGCTGTCATCATCCACAACAGCATTTACTATGATGCAAACAGGTTAAGGCAAGTGATGGGGAGAGTTGAGGAGCCAGGAAAGCACGGCATGTAGAGCTGGCATGGCTTGTCTGTGCAGTGAATGGGGCATTTATTTTGGGTCACCCTAGAAAACTTTGTAGGCTCTCTTGAGGGAATTGTTTGCCTCCTTTGTTGTTTACACAACCAGAAACCCAACCACTCTGTGATCCTGTGACCTGGCAAAGGGCACTGATGAATGTCAGGATAGGAGAGAGGAATGTGGGCATCCGAAGATCAGGCTGAAAGGAAGAAAGTGCCCTCATCTTGGAACATGGGTTCAACCTATATGTCCATCCTCACAGGGTTGTAAGAGCTGTGAAGATGATGAATAGAGAACTGTTTCCCACATAGCAAATGTGTCTTTATGGAGACGAGAACCTGCCACAGAACAGGAGGGTGTTGGTTTCGTTGTGCTTGATGAAGAAAAGGAAGGGGTGGTCAGCACAAAACCTTGGGTCACCACGAGATGAATCACAGCTTATATTTACCATGGTAGAGGCTGCGGCCTCAGTGCCTTCTTCATTCACCTCCACAACACATTCATGAACACACTCAGACACACACAGGTTTCTCTCCAGAGACATTCCTGATAAGTCAGCTTTGCCCCCTTGGAAGACATCCACCATTCCCAAGTGTTGAAACACAGACTTCATGTCATAATTCTCTTGCAGTTTAAATTTTGGAAGGAAAACCCCAACATCAGTGCTCCTCATAAAGTCTGGTTTGGTCCAGGATGTTAACTTCTCAAAAGTGAGATTGTTTTCCACCTGACAAAACAGAATTAGAGACTTTGAGATTCAAATTTGAGGTCTTAACTCAGAGGCTCATAGGCACTTCCCACTCACAATACCCTCCAACATTCTACAGGGGGACCTGACAATTCATGTGGCCAGGTAGTGTGATGATCCCCTGTCCTGCAAGCTTGTATGAGGCTTCACAGATGGGCATGGAAGAGAAGTAGCCGATGGTTGGGAAGACCTGGCTGTCCTCTCCTAAATCATTTCAGAGGCATCTTTTATTCTGACAGATGTCCAAGCCCTGGTAATTATGGTTTGGGTTGTGTTTGCTTTTGTTTTCTTGATCTAGACTTAGTTTTGAAGATAGTACATAATTGCAACTGTTTTTAAAAAGTGGGGGGAAAAAAAGGACTTTTGGTGTGAGCCACACCAGAACGAAGGTCTATCCAGGGTTGGATTCTATGCATTTTGTGGTCTGTTATGGCTTTCATGGGAACTTTCCCCCAAAGGCTCACATACTGAACCCTTATTCTGAAGCTGGCAGCAACATTTAGTAAGGCATCTATAATTTAGACATGAGGGGGTCTAGCAGAATGAGGAAGTAGTTACAGAAGGTGTACCTATGAAGGTCATCATTGGTCCTTTGTCCCTTCTCCTTTCTCTGCTTCCTGTTTACTAAGAGGTCTGTAGTCTCTGTCATTATAGAAACCATTGATGGGGACAGGTAACTTGAAATGAACCCTCTGAATCTGTGATCCAACATAAATCCTTCCTATCCCGGGTAATTCATGGCAGGCATTTTGTCAGTGACAAAACACTAACACCATAGATGCCACAGTGAGGGAGCTGGATAGGGAGAGCCGGGGAGCTGTTTTGCTTACAAAGATCCCTTAGGTCATGCATACTCCACGGCCCACTGTTCAGAGGATGGCTAACACACTGTGGGGTACCCTGCTGCAAGGAAGACCAAGATGTGTCATAATGCTCTGCCTGACTCTGTCCTCCTCAGCTGCATCCCTCCTCTTCCTCTTGGTTTGGGTAAAATGCAATATCTTTTCTGTCTATTTTATGTTCTCAGATACTAAAAGAAAATACTAAGGAAGGTCATGATATGGGTTATCTTTATTTTGGGTGGTTATATACCAAGCCAATGTGTAGAGTTCATTGTCTGAGTTGTCTTCAGTTTATCCTATCAGGTAGCCATCTCCCATTTAGTGATGAAGCTATGTTCTGTTTCAAGGTCACACAACCCACAATCGGAGTCTCAGACACAGCTTTAGACCCAAAGCCCAGCACTTGTACACAGCTCTAAGCTGGGTACCATCTACTCAAATGGCAGTTGCTAATCTGCAAACACTGCTTTCTGTTCTAATGAGAATGGACACTGGATTCTTCTCATGGGCATTGAGAGAGGTGCCTCACCTTGCTGAGGTCCACACCATCATCTGGGAGCAGGACCATCAAGCTCAGCTCCATGCCATCATAGGGCATCACCAGCACCTGTGCCTGAACTTCTTTCACGTAGGCATGTTTAAATATGTCTTCCTGATACATCATCTGCACTGGTCTTTTCTCCCTCTGAACAGAAGAATCCAGAACATAAAAGATATTATTGAGAGAGGTCAGAGGGTTTCCAAACGAGTGGAATTTAACAGCAGAAGTGTTTTTAGCACTTACAATGAAAACACTATTCATGGTACAGTGAACACTTAGTCAATATCTGCCAGCCTCTTCCTGCTATCATCAAAATATTTGAGTGCAAGCAGATATGGACTGTTGTAGATAAGATTCTACAGTTGTGATGAAACCTAACCGACTTGGGAAGGGAAGAGTTTACTTCATCTTACAACTCTCAGATCACATTCCATCACTGAAGCAAGTCAGCAGGAACTCAGGTAAAAAACATGAAGAATGCTACTTATTGACTTGTTCCCCATGGATTTCTCAATCTGTTTTCTTACATAGCTCAGGACCATCTGCCCAGGGTTGGCACTACCCACAATGTGCTGGGCCCACACCAGTCATGAATGAAGAAAATTCCCAACAGACTTGCCTCTAGGTTAGTCTTATAGTGGCAATTTCTCAGTGCAGAGTCCTTCTTTTCAAATGTCTCTAGCTTGTCTCAAGTTGACAAAACAACAACCTGGACAGGGATTAACTCAGGAAAGATGATGTGTCATCCGGCAACAAATGTGCATTTCAAATATTAATATTTTAAAGTCCTGCTTGGGTCTAGAATGTTCCACAAAGGCTCATGATCCAAAGCCTTTGTCCACAGGGTAGCACCATTGGGAGCTGGACAAACCTTTAGGAGGTAGGGCCTATTGGGAGAAAGTTAAGTATTGGTGGGGGGAATGCCTGAAGAAGATCTTTGCACTACAACCCCTTCCTGTTTCTCTCTTTTGCTTCCTGACTGCTGTGAGGAGAACAAGCCCCCACCATGCATTTCCTCCATGCTGCACTGCATCACCACAACCCAGAGTGATCGGACCAACTGACCCAGACTGAAACTTCTGGAACCATGAGCCCAATTAAATATTTCCTACTTTAATTTGGTTATCTCACAGGGTTTGCTACGCTAATGGAAAGATGACCACCAGCACACCAGAAATAGGGTTTCCACCATTTAATATTGTCAACCATTATATCTAAGGCAACAGCAAAAGCAATTGTAAATGACAGAAAAGCTCTCATAAACTAGACGGAGATATTTTCATAGTGGTATAAATGGGACTACAGACAGATAGATCCTCTCAGAAAACAGCCTGGAAACAGGAGCACACATGCTCAGAGGTTCACGATGGGTCACAACCTTCTAACCCACCACAGAGCAGAGAGCTCCAGAGCACAGACACTCACAGGCTAGGGCAGAGCTCCATCCTGACAGCCCAATAGGGAGAAGGAAAATCCCAGTTAAATGGCAAGAAATTGGGGACTGTCTGGACTGATCTCCATGCATCTTTGTGGTGCATTACAGTCTGATGACCCATCACAGGTAGATAGTTCTTTTCAACACTTTAAAAGTTAGGGGCTGTCTGGACAGATTCTCATGAATATTTCTATGATTAATCCAGTTTTTTCTGTTATGATAGTCCAGAGGTATTTTTTAAACACAGAAGTGGGCTGACCATCTGGGAAGATTTTAATTACAGTGGTACATTAAACATAAAAATTTGCTACAGACCACCCATAATGAAGATTAAATTACTCAATAAAAGGACTTATTTTTATAAAGTTTTTTAAAACACCCAAAATAAAAACATAGTAAGGAGTGTATCATTCATGATGCTCCAAACCACATCAAACTATATTTTTTATAGGTATAGGGCAAACAATTCTAATATCTACTTTAATTCAAATTATAATCCAATTAAGACTGAAGTCTTAGTCACTCAGTTTCAATATTAGAAAGTGATAAGAACTGTTTAATAATGATAAATTGTGCAATAATTTTACATGATTATTTTAATTAAAAATAACTCTGTTACATAAATATTCATATGTTACTTTCTACTTTGCCTCATGTTCCATACATATATTATACTATGCTAGCAGCTTAGTTTTGCTATTCTAGAACATAAGGAAAATTTAATTTCTAAAATGAAGTAGGAACAATGGTATTATGAGAAATTATCAGAAGCAGTAAGAGCCACCAACAGGATGTAAAATAACACAGGGAAAAAATACTCTTCATTCCTATCATTTTCTACAGTTTAACCTTTCATTCAGAAATATATTTCAAATGGTTTTCTGTGCTTTCCTGTTCTCTTTCTTTCTGGGCTGAGGATCAAACCCAGCACCCACACAGGACATGTGATCTCTATCAATGAGCCCAGAGCTACACATTCACAATTACACCCTTCCATGCAATCTCTCCACCACACTGTTACGAACCTTTGGACACTGTTCCTTACCTGGTTTATTTTAAAGGGCATTTCCCTTGTGCATTCTTTGTCAAACTCTTTTTGCCACTTTCCTTTGAAATATAAGGCATTGACAAGAACCAGCCTGGTCTCGGAATCAACTGAGCCACCCGACAGCAACTCTGGAATTTTCCCTTTTGAGGAAGCAGAGATTCATTTAGGCTCATGTTATACACGTGTGAGAAATGAACTGATCTGACATCTGGGCAGATCCAAGCATCATGTTTTCAAGTTTGTGGAATGTGGATAGACATATTAAAAAACAAATCAAAACAACATACAAACACCCATTTTTGACTTGATGTCATGCACACGGAAGAGCATGGCTAATGTGTGGATATTGAAAATTTTTCAAGTCTCTCAAGGAAAGCAGGTTTGGGAAAAGCAGAAAAAGTGACTCCAGGATGAAAAACAAAGAAGCAGGATATGTGGAAGGGGTCACAGGGCACCAGACTTTCCACCTGGGTGCTAATGTTGGTTGCCATCTTGATTGGGTCTGGAATCAACCAAGAGACATGTCTCTGGGCAGGTCTGTGAGGACATTTCCCAGAAAGAGTAACTAATGGATAGGACGCTCTTCCAAGGAACCAAAGGCTTCCTGTGCTGCCCTGATATAAGGACTGAGAGGGAAGCAGCATTGTTTGGTGTGCCTGCCTCAGTCCCTGATGGTGAGTGCATCAACACTGTTCACATCTCTGCAACTGGGATTTTCAGCTGACACTGGAGCCCATATGGACTAAGACTAGTGACTTTCCAGAAACGTCTAGGCTTTTCATTCCCACTGACTGGTAAGGTCTCCAGCCTCATAGACTGAGCAGCTACCAGATTCTCAGGCTGTCCATAAGCCAATGATCAGTAGCTGATTACCCAGCCTGTATTGTGTGTGCCATTCTATTAAATCCCCTTAGTAAAATTCTTTTCCTCTAGAGCACTCTGACTAATACACTGCTGTGAAATACAGCATCTCATCTAGTACTCTGTCATCATGCCCGGCTCTACATACTACAGTATGTCAGACACTCAAGTACAGTTACTAGTTTGGAGGATGTATTACTATTCTGCACTTCAGAGACCCATCCATTCCTAGAGGAGATAATGCAGGTAGAACGACACATTCTCTTCTTCTCTATTAAGGAGTATCCTTTCAATGATCAAGACAATCCTTGCTAATTTATGACATCAAGAGTACATAAGAAGTAAGGACTCCAACAAAAAACTCATAAACAATTGCTGAGGTGTTAAGAAATTATTCTCATTCTATTCTGTCTGTCTGTCTGTATCTTTCTTTCTCTCTCTCTTTCTCTCTATCAGCAGAAATAGGAATATACCTAGTGTTACAGAGACATCTGAATGGTTTAATCATCAATGATCTCAATCATCTCCAAGACCAATGCTGAAACATGTCATCTCTGAATTAAAAACAATTAAGTTCAACCCCCATTGGGTCAGTGTGACTAAACAGCCCTTACAGAGAAAATCAAGTCTAGCTAGTTTCATCAAATGTAAGTAAGGGATCTGAAGCAGGAAATGTGGAAGCAGAAACAGGACTCCTCTTCAGAGGTAAAGGTGGTGTTGACTGAGGCAACAAAGACTGTAGGAGAATCCAGCCCAAGGGCAAGATTATGGCCAAGGTCTACCCATGTATCTCCGTCTCAGAGATGGTGGAGTCACCTGGCCTGCCAATGCAGACCACCCCTGTCTTCTAATGCAATCTGTTAGACTGGGAAATCAGGCCCATGAGTACTCAGGACATTTGTATCAGCCCCTCCCTCCTAGAGAAATACACAAACAACTCTGTTTTAAAGTCTGAGTGTCTGAGTAAAATCTCCATGAATTCACTGAGGTCCAAATTATATAATGTGACCTAGCTGGTCTGCATCCCTTTGACTCTGAAATAACTGTAAGATTAGTCAGTGGTGGGGGAGAAGGGAAGTTAAGAGAAAGGAGAGAGGGTAGAGGAGGGAGGGATGGATGGAAAAGACAAGAATGTGGGATGTGAAATAACTTGAAATCCTGACCTTCAGTCTGTTTGGAGACCCATGTGTTTATGTGTTTCCGGGACTCCTCTGCTGCTTTGACAAAGGACAGCTGCTCCAGCTCTGAGTGATAGAACTGAAGACAGGACTCCTTAAAGGTCTGGAGAGGAAAATGTTCAGGTAACATTACAAAATATAATGTCAGCAAGCTTCCCTATCATCTGAAAACTATGGTATTAAAAAAACAACCAAACTTAAAATGGGTGTGTATATCACTTTAAAGAACAAACATTTTTTTGGTACTAGGCCTTGTAAGTGGGAATAACCACACATGAATAAATTCAAAATTACATGAATAAATAAAAATAAAAATATTTCTGATTTGAAATATTTCAAGATAACAATACAGAACTGTGATCTTTGGGCAAGATTCCGGAGTTGAGTCTCACTATGAAGCCCAGGCTGTCCTAGAACTCAGGACCTTTCTGTCTCCGTCTTCTAAGTTTTTAAGTGCAGGTAATAGAGATGTGAACAATGACAATGACTAGAACTTGATCCTTAATTTTCCCAAGTTTTCTAGGGTCCTTCCTCTGTGATCTATAGCAACAAGTATTTGACTACAATTGACATCATTCTACTGATACCACTTACTGGGAGGAATTCACAAGTGCTCTCTGCAAAGAGCCTGTTGGCCATTCTAAGCGAGTACTTTCTGTTGGGCTTGTTCAGGTTACTGAGCAGCCCCTGGAAGCCTTGATGAACATCTTTCTCTGTGTTTAAACCAAGTGCCTGTGAAGGAATAGAATAAAATATTATGAACTCAGTGATGAGATGTTGTGGTTGTAAATAAAATTTTCAAGCTGAAGAGTTACTCAGGTAGTGAGGTAAGGGAGGCTCTGATGCGAAGCAGGTTGGTATTGAGACAATTAAAAGCAGGAATTAGCTTTAATTGCTAATGAATAATTACAAGTCTATTACTCTAAAAATAATGCAGGTCTTCGCAACCCATGCCTCAAATAATTTCAACAACTTTTTTTTCCATTGTAATATTTGGGACTGACCCTAGCTCTAAACAAATGCTAAGCAAGAGTTTACCACCTCTACCACTGAGTTATGCTCACAATGCCTTCCCTCCACCTTTGAAAAAACTTTTCATTTGAAACTAAGTTGCCTTTGCTAGCCTTGGACTGGGGATCCTCCTTCCTCACTCACCTTAGTAGCTGGAATTAAAGCCCTGTGCCACATGGCTAGCATGAATCTATCTGTGCACCATTTTCTAGGTAAGTCTGGTCAAAATTTTGAGAGTTCCTCCAAGTTATTATTCTGGAAAGCTCACTGCCCTGAAAGAAGTCCTGAGGTAGGGGTCAGGGTAGAGAGATGGCTCAGCAGTTAAGAACACTGGCTGTATTTCCAGAGATTCAGTTCCCAACATCCACATGGAAGCTCACAACTGTCTGAAACTCCTGTTCCAGGGACTTTCAGATCCTTGTACAGACATAAATGTGGGCAAAACACCAATGTGCATAAATTAAAAAGAAAAAATTTTTTAAAGAAGGAGGTCTCACAGGATTAGACTGGCTTCTTTCCACTTTGGCCCCTGCCCCATGAAACAGTGTGTGCACATTCCTACCCTCCCTTCTCAGCAGCCCTTAGGCAAGTGAAGCAGGTATGGGGTGACAGACAGCTTACCTGAGACATCTGGACTGCAGTGTCTCCCTTTGCCCCCAAGAGGACCATAGCTAGAGCAGAGGAGATGCTCATGGGAGAATAACAGACATTTTTCGAAGGGTTGCTTTCACAGAGCATCTTTAAAAGGTGGATGGCAAAGTTGCCATTTGCTTCAGACAGAGTATTCATGATGCAGAGTCTGGAAACAAAGGAGAAATGGTACTCAACATACACTGAAGGTTCATTGACCTGACTCAGGGGAATCTGGGACTCTACTCTTGGTTCTCATTCAAAGCTCAAAAGTGCTTAAAATTGGACTTTAAAATTCATTCTTGGTCACAGTTCTTCCAATCTTAGGATTATTATCTATGTGTGGTCATGACAGCAGACCAAACTAGCGTCTGTGTCATCTGCATAGGTAGAGGTCAGATCATCAGGACTGCACACACAGGACACTGTTGAGAGAGGGGGTCTCTAGTCTCCTTCCATACACACCAGCTCCTCTCTGAAGATGGTGGCCTGGAGGATAAATAGGAGGAGGAGGAAATGAGGAAGGGAAGAAGAAAACAGACATGAGCATCCAGGTCCTCTAGCCTGGCTTCAGCAAAACTGCATTCTGGGTCTGCCTGTGAAGACTCCTGTGAGATGTCCAGGTGTGCATTAGACAGAGTCCCTGCATTTGCAGCTGCTACAGGACAGACATGGAGATGCTGAATGAGACCCAAAGACAGGCTGGTGTCACCAGCTCTGCTAGGAGCAGGGAGCATCCACCTGCAGTGGCTGCTCAGGAGGCTTTGATCAGGCAATGGCACCAGGCTGTTTCTCTGTGGAGCATACCTCACTCCCAGATGAATAGACAGCTTGGCTCAGACTAAGTGACTGCTCCTGCCACAATATCCCAAATCTGAGTCCCTGCACATCCCATGGCTCTGCTCTGACTGTCATATGACCTTTGAACACTGGAAGTGTTTTCCAGAGTGCTTTCTACAGTGCTTAAATGCAGATCAAGTAGCCTAGGGAGTCTTAGAACATCACAATCCATACTTCTTCCCTCTCCCCTGACAGAAGAACACAGCATCCTGAGATTGTGCCCAGATCCTGTGACTCTTCCCCATAATTCCCCTAAGGCTCTTTAGGAAAGTTGGGGCGGCTTTATTTAAATGACTGGTCTTCTGGTTGGTCTTCTCATCTGACCCACCGTGTGACCCCTACACTCCTGCTCATCCTGATGTCCCTTTAAAGTTGCTTCTGAATCCTTGAAGTGCTGTTTATTCCACCCAGAAGGACATCTACCCCCTCTCAATCACTGAGTTCAAACTACTCACCCTTCCCTCCTTCACTGGGGCAGGGCAACCTCAGGGCCTCTGCTCTGCCACCTAGTGACTCTGTCCCAGCCAGTTCTGTCATCACTCCTAAGTGCAGTCCTTTCTCTTGCTGACTGTGTCTCCACCACAGCTGGAGCTCTCTGAAGACACAGTGTAGTGACATGGTACAAGGGGGCCTTGATGGGTTGGTGCCTCAGCAGGTGCTGAAGATTGATGCTGTTCTGATACTTCTGCCTCCAACCATGTGGAGACCTGGGCATAGACTGGTCCCTGTCATTTTTAATAGATTCAAAAGCTGCTTGGTGCACTCAGATATGATTTATCCTTCTCAGATCTCTGATTCCATTTGACAACCAGGTTTTGCTTAAGCTGCCTTCTCAGTTCTCTATATAAAATTCACAGGTCTCCCTCTCCTAGGGCTACTACTAGGTCTAGACAGAATTTACCTTGTTACAGGACCAGAAAAACTCACGAGAGCAGATTTCAGTGTAGTTTTTTACTATTGACTGCTCTCAGTATCTCCTGGATAATCAGATAAAAGAAACAGCTTCAAGGTTTGTCTATATGAAGATAGGAAAGCTGTCTCACTTCTGTTCCCTCTGATGATGGTTAGGGAAGCCTCCCTCCTCCTCCGCTCAGTCAACCTCTTCATTCAGTAAATTTCCAATGCTCATAAATTTACAGATGTTTCATTGCACTTAAGCCAGGAAATGTTCACACCTTTTAACCCAAAGTCATAGCCTTTTGCTGTGACACCAGGATGTAAATCTCCTCCAGCTGTCTGACAGATACCTGCAGGCTCCCGGAAAAGATGCTGCTACTGTGTCAAGATATCGCATTGATGAAAAATAACAGTCTCCAGAGCCCATTTTGACCCCACCCATTTTTGAGCATATTTTGCAGTTTCACTTCTGCCTGGGCTAAGGCCAACCCACAGAGGGCCCTCCAGATACACCAGCCCTTGCACCAGCTCTACGGATGCCAACCACCAACAGAGGATGCCCACTGGAATGGATGCACCCCCACCCCCAGTGAAACAGCAGATTTCATGGCTCATGTACTCCTAAAGAATACATCATCCCTCAATTCACTGCTAGTACCAGCTCTCCAGACTCATGCAGGCACCTACCCAGCTACCAGAACCTGGTTTTGCAAGATGTCCCATAAAGGGCATATCTGCTTTCTTGTCTCACTCATTCACCCTTGCCTCTTCAGTAGAACCAGGACACTTCCGTGTTCCATTCTTTCTGACAATTATCTCTCTTCCTGTGGCTTGCCCCACTCATGAGACCAATAGTAACAATCTTTTTTTTTTCTTCTCCTAGCAACCTGTCATTGATATATTATGCACCCAAATAAACTTATCTGGGGGTCAGAGAACAGAACAGCCACAATATTAAACATAGAGGTTAGGCTGCTGTAGCACATGCTACATCCTCGCATTCTAGAGGCAGAGATCCGTCTGGATTTTGTGAGTTCAAAGCCAGGCATGGTGACACACACCTTCAATCCCAGGAAGGAATGGCAAGAAGCAGAAAGGTATAAAAGGCATCAGGACCAGGAACTAGAGCCTTTTAAAGCTTTTAGCTTTTAGCAGCAGTTCAGCTGAGATCCATTCAGATGACTCAGAGGCTTTCAGTGTGAGGAAACAAGATATGCTGAGGAATTGGCAAGGTGAGGTTAGCTGTGGCTTGTGTTCTGTCTCTCAGATCTTCCAGTATTTACCCCAATACCTGGCCCCAGGTGTGTTTTTATTAATAAGACCTTTTCAGTTTCATGTTGCAGCAACCTGTTTTTTCAGATCCCTCAAGGAACAGAATTGAGATCTCCACGTCTGAGGTGGCCACAATGACAGTCAACTGAATCCTCCTTCACTCACACATCCCTCTGTACATGACCCCAACTCCCAACTTCCTCCTCCCACTTTGCCCCACAATCAGCAGAAAGCAGTCTTGGAATTCAGTGCCCTTATACCCCTAGTTGCTGTCCATCACTCAACTTTCTATAATAATCAACATGGAGGAATGTTGGCATTCTGGCCCGCCCCTTGGAGACCTGCCCTGCATCCTGAAATAAATCTTCTTTTAGGGAAACCCCTCCCTTGTTCTTCCTCTTCCTCCCTCCTCCCTTTCTCACCATGAGGTGTGCACACCTCCACTTTCCCTCTTTCTCTCTGTCTCGTTCTTCCTCTCCCCCTGTCCCTCTCTTTCTCTCTCTATCTCTCTGTTATGATAAACTTATTCCAAGTGAATGCCGTGCCTGGGATGTGAGTGACTTTCCAACCTGTGATACCACCCACCTTGTGTCTGTATGGCGTGTCTTCCTCACCCACTGGGACACTAATGCACCAAGGCTCCTGCTTGCCGTATCATTACACAAGAGAGATGTCTGGCCCTACAATTCTGAGCACCTGGCTAAAGGTGGCATTTGAGGATGTCCAGTCACCATGGGATCACTGATTTTATAATTGGAATGAAGAGAGCTAGGACTGGTGGAGAGCCTGCTGATCTAAAAGGGCCCAGAAGTAAGAGACATTATTTTGCAGACCCGTGAGAAGATGGCAGAGATAATCAAATGGGCTATGTTGTAGGATATGAGGGGAAGCAGGACAGAGGGCAGTGGAGAAGGCCCCTGAGACCCTGCAGCACCTATGCCTGACTGAGATGGGTCAATAAAGCTTCAGGACTCCAGCCCTAAGACCAGCCTCACTACCACTGACCACTGGGGTTTCTAGAGAATCAACTCTGTGAACGCCCACCAGAAACCACTTGCCCTCTGTCACTTTTGCTAACCCTCAGCTTCTGGACATTCCCCTGGACTCAGGCTGTACCTTCTAAAGCTTGCCTCTGCCACTCCCACAGCCTTGGACTGAGCCAGTAGCCCTCACTTGCCAACTTCACAGCCTCCCGAAGCAGTGTTCAAGGCTAAATGCTCCTGGAGTGCAGCTTAGCAGCCTGTCCTGTTCAGGAAGACCCTTTATTCACTGCAGGGTGCTGACATCATGCTCAGAGCCCCAGGCCAGAGGAAGAGGGACTGGCCTGACCTCATCCAGCTCTGTCCTCTAAAGGGTGGGGATGGGTGGGGTTTAGTGAACAACTGGTCCCCTGAGAAAGAAAAAACTAGTAGGAGCGTTGGGTCTCTGGATGACAGGGCACAAAGGGAGAAGATTCCCAAGGGTGCCAGAGCACCTGGTGGCTGTAGCTGATACCATGTCTCCATCCATGCCAGGGACTCAGCTGTGAAGGTATTTACTCCAGGTGTCATGTTAGTTCTGCACTACCATAGACCCACATGCAGAATCCTGGTGCTAACTTCCAGAAGAGACATTTCCAACTGCTGGGGTATAGATGCTCCACTGGAGGACCCCTCCTTGCACAGTGACAGAAATAGACACTGAGGCAAATTTGTACAGGATATCTAGTCTTACTTCCTTGCACAGGGCACACTATATTTGCACAGCTCAAAGAGAGACCTCCTCAAATTTGGAATCTTAGGTGTCTCACCTTTAATGTTTTAGACTAAAATAGTATATTTTATGTGTGTGAGTGTTTTGCCTGAGTGTATGTCTGTACACCAATTGCATGCATGTTGTCCACAGAGGCCAAAAGACAGCATGAGATCCCCTATACTGGAGTGTTTCTTAGATCCTGGAGTTGTTTCTCCACCTGGCCATGCTGAGGGTAGCTTAGGAACTATATCCCAGGACAGATGTATTTATACCTTGTTCCCAAGGTTCTCATTGTCTTTTAAAGCACACATTGAGTGCCTTTGAGTATACTCATGAAGCTATATGACAGTCATCACCATATAATCCCTGACTTTCATGTTTACTTCTGATTGTCAGTATCCATTCCCCAAACCCACCCT